GAAGAAACGGCAGAATGATTAATTTAATGGGCACCATGAACGCTTGTAGAAATGTTTGTGTCAATCCATCATGTAGATGTTTGACTGGATCCAGGGCCGGCCCTGACCAATTTGGTGCCCTAGGCAAGATTGTAGATTGCGCCCCCTAGCATCACAGTGAATTTCACTCCTAATTTTCATACAGTAACACAAACTGTATGCATGTATTCAAGCTTTTATTTAAGTACAAACAACACACTAAATGAAACTGAAGAAACAAGTCTTTGTGACACTCCCTGGCGAACTGACGTGTATTCAGGCAAATATTTAACCACAAGCGCCGATGCAGGTCCTCTACCGTCGTCTTCAGACGGCGTCTAACAGTCTTAGCTGCTAACGTTAGCAGCTAGCATCTTTGCTGCTAACGTTAGCAGCTAAGACGCTAACGTAACGTCTTTGTTTCGAACGTTAGCAGCTAAGACGCTAACGTTTTCGGTAACGTCTTCGCTGCTAACGTTAGCAGCTAAGATGCTAGTGTAACGTCTTTACTGCGAACGTCAGCAGCTAAGACGCTAACGTCTTCGCTGCTAACGTTAGCGGCTAAGACGCTAACGTACCGTCTTTGCTGTTACAGGTAGAGAAACTGCATCACCGCCTGTTGATAAATACTTGCCTGAATACATGTCAGTTAGCCGGGTAAGCTTGTGGCGCCCCCCGTGGATGTCGGCGCCCTTAGCATTTGCCTATAATGCCTATGCCTAGGGCCGGCTCTGACTGGATCAATAAACAACTAAAGGAACACCAAATTCGGTAGGAGTGGGGACCAGAGATGTTCAGAAGTTCAGGGACCAAATTAGCAGACCAGTGAACTGTCATTTCTATGGTGCAAGCAGCAGTTCAGTGCATTCTGCTGCGTTGTATTTCAAGAAATTTGGCATCTTATTGCCGACTCTTTGATTTGCAATCAAGTTGAGATCAGGCTACCTGTTGCAAATCAGGCGCTGTCACTTAACGCCCCTTCAAACCTATAAAAAGTAACCCTTATCGATCTGTTATGAAATAGATTCTGCAACTGCATGGCCTTTTTCTTTTCAGAAACATATTCTGGTCAGCTGTTTCAGTCTCAACAAGCCGCCATTATGTTCCAGTTCCAAGGCCAGACAGACCACGAATGAACTGTCGGAGCTCGTATTGGTTACCTCGTGACACTGCCTAAATCGTATGCCCATTAAGTAGCACAACCCCTTGAGTACAAAAACACGCCTGTGGATACAAAGCATTACCATCCAACAGCCCGACATCCCCATCTCCTCAGCCATGAGGCCTGCATGCCTAAAAAATTGAAAGAAAAAAAAAAAACCAACAGACGAAGGAAAAGAAAGACAGACAGCTGGTGCCCAACATTTAATTAGATCCGCTATGAAACAGTGAATCATCCAGATTGTAGGTACTGCGAGCAGATACTCTGTGTGTGTTTGTCATGGAGAATGTCATAACACAGAGAGAACTGACACACACTAATCGCTGATTGAATGCATGAGGAACGCTGCAGATATTACCCTGAAGGACAAGAAAAGGCAAAATAGAAACAGCCCTCAAAGTCAGAGTAAAATTAAATACAGTGACTTTGAATTCCCTTACCTCTGGTGTAAACATGATAAAAGGTCTTACAACGGGGTGATGTCAACACTCGGCACCGCTTCTCCGTAATATTTTGACATGTGTCAAGCAAAACTCGAGCTTAAAGTTGCACTTCTTTGTCAGCGCGCGGAAGTTTGTGAGAATACATCTGAGATAAGCGCGTTTGTCTGACGGAGGGCATTCTTTTGCAGACAGGCAGAGTGCCGTCTGACTTTGCACATTTGTCTTCTGCGCCGAGGCACATCAGTAGTTCATCTTGATAACGGAAAAGGGCTATGTGCGCGGATTTGGTGAAATAACCTTTTGTGAATATAATTTGAAAAGCAGTGTGTGGATGAGTGTGGGCGGGCGTAAATAAAAAAATGGAGAAGAAGTGATTGTATCATCAAACACTTTATCTGAATGCCTTTTGTAGCATTGACCGGTGCCTCAGAATGTCTTGATTGACCTTTTGCATCAGGTTTCTCCTCCCTTCATTTTTTTTTTTTTTTAGCTCAGTTGTTTGGTGGGAAAATTTTCTTGGGTGCAAGTTCATTTTCTGTGCGGATGGTAAAGTGGCCCTTGAAGATGCTGGCCGAGATACAGCGCAGTGTATGAGTGACAAGAGATTTTTAGAAAAAAAAAAAGTTGTCCTCAAAGTGTTTTATCAGTGCATCCAAGATCTTTATTTTTCATGTGAATGGGACTGTGAAGTGCCTAGATGGAACATGCGATGGAAAGAACCCGTGAGTGGGACTCTAAGAGGCCAAATGGAACCCTCTTCAGCCAATTAGAGTCCTGGAGGGTGCAGTACAGTTAATCCCCATGGTAACGCGAATGAAGGGCACAGTACTCTGTACATCCTCCTGCTCCTTTTCTGTCCCCAGCCTTTCATGTGGAAATATACTCCATTGTCTCGAGCTCCTCCTGCCGAAATGGCATCGCGAGGGGAAAAAAAAAAAAAAGCGTCCTCATTCGTGGACGAAGATGTTTTTGAGGGAGGAAGTATGATTGAGAAAAAACAGTACTTGAAAA